TGAGGGTGAAAAATTAGGTGAGAAAACAGGTGAGATCTCACCTCTTCACCTAAACATTATTTTTGGATCATTTACACTCATTACGATGAAGAAGTCATGACAAAACATATACGAAGAAATCATGACAAAACATATACGATGAGGTCTTGACAAAACATATACGTAAACATTTATTTCCTGTGTTGTTGCCAAAATGTCATGTTGTCTCATTTTTTCAGAGAAGTTAATTAACCGAGTGACACATGGTGACGTAGTGACACCTTCAGTTCTTCAAAAATAATTCATAACTGCCTTCCCCTGCTGTGTTGTCAAAATGTCATGTTGTCTCATTTTTTCAGAGAAGTTAATTAACCGAGTGACACATGGTGACGTAGTGACACCTTCAGTTCTTCAAAAATAATTCATAACTGCCTTCCCCTGCTGTGTTGTCAAAATGTCATGTTGTCTCATTTTTTCAGAGAAGTTAATTAACCGAGTGACACATGGTGACGTAGTGACACCTTCAGTTCTTCAAAAATAATTCATAACTGCCTTCCCCTGCTGTGTTGTCAAACATGAACGTAAACATTATTTTTGGTTCATTTACACTCATTACGATGAAATCTTGACAAAACATATACGATGAAATCATGACAAAACATGTACGATGAAATCATGACAAAACATATACGTTTAGTTTCGATGAAATCATCATGACAAAGCATATACGATGAAATCATGACAAAACATATACGCTCATGTTTGACAAAACATATACGATGAAGTCTATGAACATAATAATATTTCAAACCAGGAGCCAAATTCTTGCGATTTTCATATGGAATCTCTTCTCTCGGTTTTCCGAGGTAAGCAATTATATGAAATCATTTACACTCATTACGATTAAATCATGACAAAACATTTACGTTCATGTTTGACAAAACATATACGAAGAAGTCTTGACAAAACATTTACGATGAAATCATGACAAAACATTTACGATTAAATCATGACAAAACATTTACGTTCATTACGATGAAGTCATGACAAAACATAAACGATAAAATCATGACAAAACATATACGATAAAATATATTTCCTGGACTGTTGTCTAAATGTCATGTTGTCAGTAATTTTAAGAGAAGTTAATTAACCTGGTGACATGGTGACGTAGTGACAGTGAAAACATTAACGTAAACATTATTTTTGCTGAATTCAGCAACAAAATGAACGAGGTCAGGATGTATGCAAATACCTTTGAATTCATTCATAAATGCCTTAGTAAGCTCATAAAATGCTTGTTTTTGCATTCTCTACTGTATCTTCGAGTTCTTCTTCATCTAACTTCTCATGAACTTTCTTATCTATGGAGTCCATAATATCTTTGACATAAAATGCATACTTTACAGAGCACCATTCAGCAACAAAATGAACGAGGTCAGGATGTATGCAAATACCTTTGAATTCATTCATAAGTTCCTTAGTAAGCTCATAAAATGTTTGTTTTGAGGTCGAGCCACTTTTGGCTTGACCGTATTCTTTCAACCAAAACTCAAGAATTTTCCTGTGTGAATTTTGTATAAAAAGCAACCGTCTGAATTCAGGCGGTTGTTATATTCTTCACAAAACATTTACGCTCATTACGATGAAGAAGTCTTGACAAAACATGTACGATTAAATCATGACAAAACATATACGAAGAAGTCTTGACAAAACATGTACGTTCATTACGAAGAAGTCATGACAAAACATATACGATTAAATCATGACAAAACATATACGATGAAATCATGACAAAACATATACGATTAAATCATGACAAAACATATACGATGAAGAAGTCTTGACAAAACATATACGCTCATTACGATGAAGAAGTCTTGACAAAACATTTACGATGAAGAAGTCATGAAAATTCAAGACCCTTTGGGTCTCGCCGCTTAGCGGCTGAGGGTGAGAAAAGAGGTGAGAAAAGAGGTGAGTTCTCACCTCTTCACCTAAAATATATTTTTGGATCATTTACGCTCATTACGATGAAGAAGTCTTGACAAAACATTTACGATTAAATCATGACAAATTATTTATGTTATACAGTAATGTTAGTCATGAATGTTTGTCCTACGTGTTGGCGTTAGTGTTGAAAAATAATGTTTGTCCTACATGAAGCCGTACAAGCGTTTGAATTTGTTTATGAATAAAATTACACTCTTGTTTTCTGTATCTATCATACAAACATAAGCAGCACCTGTTTTTGTAAAGTTTATATGAAGTTTTCGATAGTTAAGACCTGTATAATAATAGAATGCGTCCTCATTCTCAACATAGTAGTAGAACTCAAACGAATGCTTACCATAATCTGTTATTTCAACAGCTTCGTCAGATATTTCATCAACGAACTCATAAACTATATCGCCATACTTGCTTTTATTTCTATTGTTTTCAGATTTAGAACACCAACGAAGGTTTGAGATTCTGTTGTCCGTTCTATCATGATTTATATGGTCTATTTCTTTCAAATTGTTTGGATTTTCAATCCACTGTTCTGCAATAATTTTATGCTTTAAGTACATTTGTTGTTTAAACTAAGCTCAATATAACCATGATTATTTAAGCATTCACTCTTAATATGTTTGTTTTTCTTTCGACGAATAGTAAAAGGATATGTCGTACAAATCTCATAATCTTCATGATTTCTCAATGTTTCCCATTGAGTTTGTTCCCCACTAACGTTCTCATTGACGTCCTCAATATCTTTCTTCCTCACTGAACTCGTCAATATTTTCACTAGCTCCTTCTGTAATGTTTTCATCGGCATTGTCATTGACTTCTTCTGTAATGTTAGATGTTGTTGTTTCGCTCATGTTCTTTCACTAATGTTAAAAGTTATGTTGTACGAATTTTGAACAGAATTTAGAGCAGTTATGAAACAATGAAGTATTTTATGCTATTGAAAGGAACTATGAGAGTGAAGTACATGACAGCAATGACAAAAGGAACTAATATCAAACCTAATGAAATCGCTCACGAGGACATAGAGCTTAACAAGTATTTTGTGGAGTATCTTATAAGTGAAGAGTATGTAAGACCTTACTTCATGTTTGACAGCATGAATGAGATGTTATTTCATGGTTAAAGAATATAAGCAATGTTTTCGGTAAGTACGTCATAGATGACAAAGGTCTTGTTGTATTTTATGAGACAGCAATACGAACACAGGAACTAATGGATATTATGCACTCAACAGCAAAGAAAGGATTTAGTACTATTGGCATGAATGAACATTGCAGGAATGACATATACAACCTATGCTCACGAAAGCCTTACACAAAAGCAATACAAATGATAGAACATAAGTGTCTAAGGTCAGCAAATGAAATCATTACTGTCAGTGGTTATGAAAGAACTGTTAGCAAAGATGAGTGGAAACAGCTATTCATATTAAGGAAGGACGTTGCTGAGTTAAACCTGTTGCATTGTTTCAGATAAGACCAGCAATGACTAAGAACCCTTTGACCTTAGTCAATGAGACCATAGAGGTTGAAGATAATGACATGAAAGAACTAGGAATGAATGAGAGAAGTTGTGAAGGATGTTTGAGTCAAAACACATGGTTCTTCAGAGCTGTTAAGAAACTTAGTAAAGAACGACAGAAATATTTTATAGAGAAGTATTGCAAAGGATGTGTAAATGAATTGCTTGAAATAGAACTTAGAGACACTTTCACACTAAAGGACTTGAGAAGAAATAAGTACATGAGTGAGACGGTATTGACATAGCTAGTGTTATAAATGACTTAAGAAGATGTGTTGTCGTTATTGACGGAGCACGTATGACATATCTAGTGAAAGATTATGATGGAATACGAGACACAACAACACTTGTGTCAGTAGATAGCAAGCAATAAGCTCATGAGAGTGTTTACGTAGGACGTATTGAAGAGAAGGATGTGAACGCACTGATGATTTATGAAGCGGGTCAGAACAAGAACTATCTTATGAAGTCAGGCATGAGATTCTTTGACGAAAGAGATGACATTTACAGCTATTTCAGAGGATATGAGTATGAGGTACTGAATGAAGTAGATGAAAGCATTATTGAAGGATATTTGAAACATGTTCACGATGTCATATGTAATGAGGATGAAGAGCTTTATGAGTATGTTTTGAACTGGTTCGCCTACATCGTTCAAAATCCTTGTGGAAAGACTGGAACAGTACTTTTGTTAATAGGAAAGCAAGGAACTGGTAAGAATGTACTTAGTAATGTTCTATGCGAGCTCATTAGCAAGTACGCCAACAATAATATAACGGCAATAGAGAATGTGGTTGGTAGATTCAATGCTGCTATTGAGAACATGAAGCTCATCGTATGCAATGAACTAAGCTCATGCGATACGTCTAAGGTCATGAACCACGACGCACTAAAGTCAATAGTAACAGAGACTCAGTTGGACTTAAATCAGAAGTGTCAGCCAGTAAGAAAGATAGAGAATGTTTGTAATATCATCATGATATCTAACAACTTCAACTCAGTAAAGATTGACAAAGACGACAGAAGATTTGTTGTCATTGACGTAAGCAGCAGATACAAAGGAAATTACGAATATTTCTCAAATCTCATTGAAAGCTTTAATGAAGAGTTTTATTCAAACTTACTGACGTACTTCATGAAGAAAGATTTAAGTGAATTTGATGTAAGGAAGATACCATTCACCAGGGCTAAACAAGAACTCATCGAAATGAACAAAAACACCTTACCAAATGTTTTACGAGGAGTTCTATGAAAAGTTTGTATCCGGATGGAATTGTACAGAGTGCTACAGAAGATATAAAGAATTTGCGAAGGAGAATGAATTCTTTGCATGTAGTTCAAATGTATTTGGTGGCAAGATGAGAGAATTTGTGAAGAGAAGTAGAAAGCGAGACGGTTCTGCAAGAAGTTATATTTACGAAGCAAGTATGATATTAGAAGGTCATGGAAAGAAAGAAACAGTGAATTATGAGGAAGTGCTTGAAAAATTCATGGAGTACATGGGAAGCAATATAACATACAACAAAGACATATACAGTGAGTTTAAGTACTACTGTGAACAGCATGAGATTGAAGTAATGAGTAAAGGAGACTTTGAAACGCTTATGAAAGACAGTGAGGAGGTCATACATGAGAACAGTGATGAAATAGTTCATGAGAACAGTGAGGAGGTCGTTCATGAGAACAGTGATGAAATAGTTCATGAGAACAGTAAGGAGGTCATACATGAATGCAATGAGGATGTCATACATGAGAACAGTGATGAAATAGTTCATGAGAACAGTGAGGAGGTCGTTCATGAATGCAATGATGAAATAGTTCACGATGTCGTTCGTGAAGAAGCCATTGCAACAAAGAATGAGATAAAGGATTTCATAGAACTTAACAAGGAGGAGTTTAAAGAAGGCTATGAAGTGAAAAGATGTGAAGAAGATTTCTTGGCGTATTTGAAGAAAAAGAGACTAAAGCCAATGGCTCAAAATAAGTTTCAATCGATGTTTGAAAAGAAACGTTTGAGCTATGGTGGTGTAAGAAGCACATATTACTTTGTTAAGAAGTGAGGACATTTATTTTTGTCGTTAGTGTTGGAGTTTGTGTTTGTTGTTAGTGTTTGTCATTTGTGCTGAGGTTAGTACTTGATGTTAGTGTTGGAGTTTGTGTTTGTTGTTAGCGTTTGTCATTTGTGCTGAGGTTAGTACTTGTCGTTAGTGTTGGAGTTTGTGTTTGTTGTTAGTGTTTGTCATTTGTGCTGAGGTTAGTACTTGATGTTAGTGTTGGAGTTTGTGTTTGTTGTTAGTGAGAGAATAAATTAAATCATGAACTTTGCCATGGTCTCTGTCCCTAGTAGTTTTCATTAAGTTCCGGAAATAATGAAAATCATAAACTTTGCCATGGTCTCTGTCCCTAGTAGTTTTCATTATCTCACAGAGTTAATGAAAGTCATACTTTCTATCAGATGAAGCATGCAGATGAACATAATGAAAGTTAGTGAGTTTGCCACGAGTTATGAATAAAATATTGGCATATTAGATGAGATAGCTGATGAAACAGATGAAGATAAATTAAATCTTGGACTTTGCCACACTCTGTCCCTAGTTCCTCAAAATCCTTGACAACGTTGCTTAGAAATTTTGGTTCAAAACCTCATCTGATTTTAATCTGTTATGCTACCTGTTAAGTTTCGCGAGATTATAAATGTCATGGAGTTATATAAAAAGGAGGGACAGCTAGGGACACTGGAAGTACTTATAAGGCTATCTGTTAAGATTGCATGAAATACTAAAAAGTCATGAAATCCATTATCGCTGTGCTAGCTTCACCTTAGAGTAAAATGACGACTAAAGTCACTGAAGCAATGAAACAAAAGTTTTTGGTAGAATACATTAAATCAGGAATTATTCCAGAAGGTTTTTACATTCATACTATGAAGGATGGTAGAGTTCAGTTTAGAAAGATAAAGCAACCATTAGATAAAGAAGGAATTTTGAGAAAGATTAAACTTCATGAGGACAACATTGCTGAACTTAAGAAGAAGTTAGAAGAGTTGGAGAAAGGAAGAGAGTTATAAAGCAATGAATTCAAGTGGGTGAAAAAAGAGGTGAAAAAAGAGGTGAGATCTCACCACTTCACCTAAATTTATTTTTGTGCTATGTTTTCATACGTGTGATGGTTGTGATATCATTATTTTTAAGTTTATTTTTTATTTTATTTTTATTTTATTTTTATGTAAATGACGAAAACTATTGAGATAACAAACTACAACGGTCATGAGTTCAAGAATTTGTTCTTCGTTCCTCGTGAAAATACATTCTATCAGATACGAGGGAGAAAGGGTAAAGTTAGTTTGAGCGTTTATGAAGGAATGAAGAATGGAAAGTTTATACAAGCATACGATACAAACGGTAAACGTGTTTCATTAGCTTTGTCAAAACTTACTAACATTTATTTTGACAGTGACTTTGACTCTGACGATTGGAGCGACAGCAGCGATACTGAAGAATATGAACTATTGTGTGAAGCACAGCAATGGGAAGAGTTGCAATACTTTTGTAAGTGAGAACGTTTATTTTTACAGTAGTAAGGTGAAGTGGTTGGCGGCTTTATAAATATTTAAGGTTAAGTTGGTGTTGTCGTTTGTGTTGTAAAATATACGTTAACGGTTTTGTAAAGTGTCAAATTCACAAGTATTGCATACGAAGGAACGCAGTGCCTCCGTACACGAGACTTGTATACTAACTTTATTGGAGGAATTACAATAAATGAATAAATTTGAAAGTCTTTTGAATTTTCAGGTAATTCATCACCTTTCTTAAATGTATGCAATTCAATTTCATTGTTAACTTCTTTAACTAAAATCATTTCGCAGAATCCTTGTTCGATTTTGTTTATGATTGAAAAAATTGTTGAGAAATAATTGTAAGATTGAATTCTATCCCCCCTTTGTGGTTCCTTTAAGTTTATTTACTATATTATGGAACATCGTATAAGTTGCATTGGGAATATTCAATTCTTTTGCAAAAATTTCTTTGCATTGAGGAACATTATCAGAATTTGCTAATTCATAGACTTTTTTTCCTGCTTGCAACTTAAGAATTTTTGGTATATTGTTACTCGGCTTGCATTGCTTTGCTCTATGCTCGTGTTTAATTACTGGAATGAAGAAAAGTTGACTATTTTCATGAGTCTTTACAAGCTCCATGCAAAATTGGCAGTTAGGACAACGAAACTTTTTTCCTTGCTCAAAATTTAATGGATAAAAAGAATTATATGAATCTTTTGCAATAAATATAGCAGCTTCTGTAGGATCTGTAAATTTTAATTTGCTATATCTTTCCTTGAGAATTGGAATTGGGGATTTTCAGGTATTTCCATTCTATATTTCAATTTTTTACGGGAATTCAATTCATTTTGAATTAAATCCAGCATATCAGCTCCATCTCCTTTTTCTTCATCAACAATAGCTTGGATGGATACTGATATAGTTTGATTCTCTTCCACTATTGTCGGTTCGCTTTCCGACATGAGATAAAATTGAAGGTTTAACGTACTTTTGATACTCTGAGTTAAAAAAAGATTTTCTTAACATAATTTGATTTATTGGTCCTTAAAAAATTCTGATTCAAAATTGAATTGAATCGAACGAGTTTTCCTTTTGAGTCATTTCAAATATTCATGAGAAAGAAAAAAATTCTAGCAATTTCAAATATTTTTGATTTGATTGAATTCAAAAGTGTCACAAATATTCAATGAGAAAGAGAAAAGAGATCGAATATGTTGTTTCTGAGCGAATAGTCAAGCAATATTTCGTTAAGTACAAAGATCAGCATCCGGAAAAAAATAAATGGGTATATCAAAATGAGATTCCGCAAGAAATATTTGAAAAATATCTAGAAACGAAGAAAACAGAAAATATTGATGAAATGTTACGCTGTACTCGAATTGTTCATGTTGTTGATCAAGATAAAAAAGAATTTTATCTTGAATTTTCAAAAAAAAATCAAATTCATCACATATTAAACAAGAATCTAGATGAAGAACATCAAAAGGCTTATATAGATTATCTTGAAAGTTTACTCAAACTTGAAATAAAAAATAAAAATTAAATTAACCCTCGTTAGGATATCGTTGCAAATAAAGATCTGTTTCTCAGAAAGATCCTGATTTTCTGATAAATATTCTGTTGTAACTTCTACAAGGTTTAAGATATGAAAAACATTTTTGAATATTTCATCGCTATCAAATCTGCGGAAACATCTGGAATATAATTTCAAATATTTGTGAAGATTTGAATTCTCAATTGCATAATTAATTAAAAATTCATGTGAATTTAAAAAATCGGTAGATGAAATTTGCATGGGTATAAGAGGAAGTACACAATAATACCCCTGAACTACATACTCTGTAAATGAATAGTGAGGAGAAAGACTTCGCAGAATTTCAAGTGTTTTTATGAATTCTAAAGCCATCTCAGATGTTATATCGACTGCTTTATAAAATAAAACTATAAATTTGAGAAGATAAACAAAATCTTCGTTATTTATAATTGAATTCACGTCATTAAAAAAGTTGAAATAATTTGATATTAGTATATCCGAACATGGAAGAGCAGTTGCATATCCTGGGTAATATTTTAATAATTTTGTAAAGAAATTTGCAATTGCATAAGTTGAATATTGATTTTCGTACTCAATAATACTAGAAAAAATTTCTTTCTTGAGTAAAACTGCGTTTTGGAAGAATTCAACGTCAAGAATATTGTTTTTAATCAAAGCAATAAATGTATCGATGATATAGAGAGAATTGTCACTGCTGCTTATGAAACGTAATATCTCATCATATTGATCGGAAAATGTTGATAAATAAAGGTATTGTATGTTATCTAAAGCTTTAAAATGAATTAATTTTAATGAAAAAATGAAAAAAATCTGGTTAATATAATGCGATAAATATTCGAATAAATTTTCCAGTAGTATCAAATCTATTTGAAAGATATTCGAAGAAGTGATATTTTGAATTGTGAATTTTAATATTGTTTCATTTTGTGTAGATTGCTCGATAATGAAATGTATCAAAAGATTCATTGAATATGAGTCAATGGAAAAGCTTAAATCCTTAGGGATATCCAAAATAAATCTTAATAAAGAAGATTCGTCTTGAAAATTAGCTTCCGAAAGTTCTATTTCAGTCGGAGCTGGAAGATTCCGATCATTTATGAATCTCGAAACGACAGAAAATTTGTATTGTTTATATTTCATTATTCGAAATGATAAACTTCAAAATCTAAAATTTATTTTTTTACAATATATTTCATCCTATTGTCAAGGCTAAATTTTTCACCGGAAGTGTATCAAAAATTGATAAGATTTACGGTGATCTAATTATGACAATTCAATGCATCTCGTGATATAACGCAGATATAAACACAACTGATATTGCATAACTAATAATTGAGTCAAATAACTAAATTATGTGTTATATTTTACACATATTTCTTCAATTTTGTAATAAATGGATGTTTAACACTAATTTTTTAAGGACTTCGACTTTAGCATCACATAAATATGTTATTTTCTATATTAAAACGTAATTTTGGTGGTCTTAGAATAGAAAAATATGCAATATTCGTGGAGATAATGAGGGTTCTTAAACATGTTCTTAAAAATAAATAAAATAATACAAATCTTTATTCAATCTTTTGATATTGTTGGTCCTCTCTTTGTGAAAATACTTAACTTCAAAGAGTATTATGTTTTACCTAGTGAGGACCTTAAGTTTGCAAAAACATAATAAAAGTAAAATAAAAAAGATCGGATTTATCACAAAACTTTGAGTATTATAGGATTTAATATATTTTCTTAGTAGATTATATGATTTAGTTTCTTAAAATCTAAAGTATTTCTTGAGGAAAATATAAATTGAAATTCAAAAAGTAAAAAAAATGTAAACAAATCAAATTTTAAATGGACCAAATGTTGATTTTTCATTCGTTTTCTCATTATCGAAAAAAATTTGGAAAGCTAAGAAGTCAATAACAAGTTATATAATACAACAAAACCACATC